GGTGAAATGCATGAAAAATACGTAATAATCTCAATATTCCTTCCGGATAAACTTTTTTCGACTGCGTATTATTTTGAGACCTATGAACAGAAGATAATAATAATTCTCATGGGGAATCAAGAATATAGACAGGCCTTGTATTTCTATGAACAGAGTAATTTATGAAAATTGTGCGTATGCTCGTTTCTTCTGTATAACTTGGACCATGCCAAAAGAAAGAAGGGATGGCCTTAACAGACCTGGAGTAGGGAAAACTCCGTATAATATTCTTGGCGAAGATTGCACCGTACTCTTTTAGAACCGCAAAATTCCACATTGCTACTATTCCAACAAATTCTCGTTGGAAGCTTTTGCTTTTTTTTTTGAAGCTTTATGGAACGAAATTTAGCTTCTGTTGCTAACGTTCTTCTTGAAGGAAGATGTTATATCAAATGAGTTATGAATGTATTATCTTCAGTTTCTAATGTTTCTTTTGAGCTAAGAATGATATGCCAACAATGATTCATGGGTTCTGATCCTAAATGTGATATCTTGGTTAAATTTTACTTTATCCTTAGGTGGCCACATGGACTAAATGACTCAGAGTCATTCTTAGTAATGGTGGCTTTGTGCCACGTTTTGGGTGGGTAATTTTATAAATTTTTATCCATTTATTAGTAAACCGGCTAATGTCTCGTTACCCGGTAATTAACCAATTACCGCATAATTTAAAAATTGCCACAAATTTTCGGTTTGTTAGTTTTGTAATGAAAAGTATAGGGTTTTGTTACCTCTCTAACTATCTCTCCATTAGGCAGGATTTTAGTGGCCCAAGCACTTATTTGTTGAGGAGACACTGATCCAATTCGGAGCTGTTGATGTTTATATCGATCCTTCTTCTGTCCGAAGAAATGATTCATCAAAATGATGAGTCACCATTGATATCGACACACCTGAGATCGCCAAATACTCGGGAGTTCCTCTATTCAATCCGGTTACGGAGGGACCGTTTCGTTTTTGTAGGCTGGTCCGGTCTATTGCTCTTTCCTTGTGCTTACTTATAATTCTACTTATTTTTAATATACTTTATATATACATTATACATTATACTATTGTGGTCAAATGGTACTTTGCATGGTACTAGTTCATAATTATCGGATATTTTCGCTCAACCCGTACTTTATCCCAATATGGCTACTTTCAATGAAACTCATTTTCTTTAATTCGTGTACCCCTTTATCCTTCATAACACTTATTTATCGCTTGTTATAAATAGCGTAAATACGTTAACGTCAAGATGATCTCATCCCCGAGTCTACGTCAATTAATTGAAGACGAAATTTTTAACGTATGAAAACACGAGATGTAACATCCTCCCCCCCCCCCCCCTAGAAACATTCGTCCTCGAATGTTCAACTCCCTGTGATCTATATAACTTTGGCAGGGTCGCCTTTGTAACAACACTACTACCAACCTCCCCGTAGCTTAATAACCCAACGCCACACAGGACCACAATTATGAATAACGACCATGGCCTCACACGACCAACGATAATAACCAACACAAGAATTTATACACATACCTTATGGTTATGATGTCTCAGTCGAACCCTTCTCTGGAGAAGGAAATAAGTAGGGATATCTAGACTTTATGTCTTCCTCGGCCTCCCAAGTCATTTCTTCCACATTGTTGTTCCTCCAAAGTACTTTCATGGAGGCTACCTCCTTATTCCGTAGCTTGCGGATTTGTCGGTCTAGGATGGAAATCGGAATTTCCTCGTATGACAAGTCCTCTGTAATCAGTACATCATCCGTGGGTACCATTCGGGTAGGATCGCCAATGCACTTTCGTAACATAGATACGTGAAAAACCGGATGGACAGACTCCAACTCCGAGGGCAATTCTGACACATAAGCTACTTGGCCCACTCTCCGAATGATCCTATAAGGCCCAATATACCGTGGGCTAAGTTTACCTCTCTTGCCAAACCTCATCACACCCTTCATAGGTGACACCATTAAGAATACCAAGTCATCAACCCCGAACTCTAAATCTAGTCGCCGCACGTCAAAATACGACTTCTGACGACTTTCAGCTGTCAACAGTTGATCCCGGATAAGCTTTACTTTTTCTATGGCTTGCTAAACCAGGTCTGGCCCATGTAACCCAGATTCTCCAACATCAAACCACCCTATAGGCGACCTATACTTCCATCTGTAAAGAGCTTCGTATGGAGCCATCTGAATACTGGAATGGTAACTATTGTTATATGCGAACTCAATAAGCGGCAGATGATCATTCAAGCTACCTTTGAAGTCTATTACACAAGCTTGTAACATATCCTCCAGTGTCAGAATAGTATGTTCAGCCTGTCCGTCTGTCTGGGGATGAAATGCTGTACTAAGACTTACTTGAGTCCCCAATCCTTTTTGGAAGGAACTCTAGAAGTTAGCTGTAAATTGAGCTCATCTATCCAAGATAATAGATACACGTACACCATGCAGCCGTACTATCTCTTTAATAAAATCCTTGCATAATCCTCTGAGGAATATGTAGTTCTAACGGGCAGAAAATGGGCTGACTTTGTAAGACTATCAACAATCACCCATATTGAATCGAACTTACGCTGGGTACGAGGTAAGCCTATGATGTAATCCATATTGATTACTTCCCATTTCCAAGTCGGAATCTCCATAGCTTGCAATAACCCACCGGGTTTCTGATGCTCAATCTTAACCTGTTGACAGTTAGGACACTGAGCAACAAACTCCGCTATATCCTTTTTCATTCCATCCCACCAATACACTTCCCTGACATCACAATACATCTTGGTCGCTCCTGGATGGACAGAATAACGAGAATAGTGAGTTTCTACCATAACCTGCCGATGCAGCCCTGCAACATTAGGCACACATAATCGCCCTTGATATCTAAGGACTCCATCTTATGTAATTTCAAAGGGTATGTTCTCCTTCTGAAGGGTGGTATCCCTATAATGAACTAACACATGATCCTCGTACTAGCGTTCCTTTACTTCCGTTACTAAAGAGGATGTTGCTGTATCCTGAATAGTAATTACAATATCACCTGAGTACAGTAACCGAACTCCAAGACTAGCTAGTGATGAACCTCATGGGCTATTCCCCTGTTTTATGGCTGTAAATACGATAGGCTACCCATAGATCTACGGCTGAGGGCGTAGGCTACTACGTTTGCCTTCCCTGGATGGTATAAAATATCAACGTCATAGTCTTTAAGTAGCTCCAACCATCTCCTTTGACGTAGATTCAATTCCTTTTGCTTGCAGATGTATTGGAGGCTCTTATGATCCGTATAGATATCAACATGAATGCCATACAAGTAGTGCCTCCACATCTTTAGTGCATGAATCACCGCGGCTAACTCTAAATTGTGCGTCGGGTAGTTCTTCTCGTGCTTTCTTAGTTGTCTAGAAGCATAAGCCACAACCTTACCATGCTGCATCAGCACACAACCCAATCCAATGCATGAAGCGTCACAATAGATCACATAACCATCGGTCCCTTCTGGAGCGTGAGAACCGGTGCTGAAGTTAATCTGTCCTTTAAGGCTTGGAAACTCTGTTCGTAAGCGTCAGTCCATTGAAACTTTGCTCCCTTCTGAGTCAACTTTGTTAAAGGTGCCGAAAGGGAAGAAAATGCTTCCACAATCTCCTGTAATAACCTGCCAATCGAGAAAGCTACGAACCTCCGTCGGTGTTGTGGGTCTAGGCCAAGTCTTTACTGCCTCAATCTTTTGTGTATCCACCCGGATGCCTTCCCCGAAATGATATGCCCAAGGAAAGCTACAGAGTTTAACTAGAATTCACATTTAGAGAATTTTGTATACAACTTCCCCTTTTGTAGAGTTCTGAGCACAGTACGCAAATGATCTGCTTGTTCAGCCTCTGAACGAGAATACACCAATATATCATCGATAAATACAATTACGAGCAGATCTAAAAAGGGCCTGAACACACGGTTCATCAAATCCATGAATACTGCTGGGGCATTGGTCAAACCGAACGACATAACCCGAAACTCAAAGTGCCCATATCTAGTCCTGAATGCTGTCTTTGGAATATCTTCATCCTTAACCCTTACCTTATGGTACCCTAACCTCAAGTATATTTGTGAAAAACACTTGGCACCTTGCAGCTGATCAAATAAATCGTCAATCCTCGGGAGCGGGTACTTATTCTTGATCGTCACCTTATTCAACTGTCTATAATCAATACACATCCGTAAGGAACCATCTTTCTTCCTCACAAATAACACAGGTGCTCCCCATGGTGATGTGCTAGGTCTGATAAAGCTTTTTTCAAGCAAGTCCTTTAGTTGTTCTTTCAACTCTTTCAGCTCTGCGGGGGCCATTCTATAGGGAGGAATAGATATTGGGTGAGTATCTGGTAGTAGGTCAATAGCAAACTCAATTTCTCGCTCTAGCGGGAGACTCGGAAGTTCATCGGGAAACTTATTAACCACTGGGATGGACTGAATGGTTGGTGACTCCACTTCCACATCCTGAACCCGAACTAAGTGATAAATACAGCCCTTTCTGATCATCTTACTTGCCTTGAGATAGGAGATGAATCTTCCTCTCGGCGATGCCATATTACCTTTCGACTCCAAAACAGGCTCCCCTAGAAATTGATATCGGACTATCTTTGATCTACAATCAATGTTGGCATGACAAGAAGCCAACCAATCCATACCCATTATAACATCAAATTCTACCATATCCAACTCGATTAGGTCCGCTACGGTAGATCGATTATGAACTACTATTGTGCAACCCCTATATACTCACTTAGCTATCATTGAGTCCCCAATAGGAGTAGACACCTCAAAAGGTTTAACCAATTCAGGTTTTTTTCCAAACTTACTAGCAACTAACGGAGTAACGTATGATAAGGTGGAACTTGGGTCAATCGGTGCATATACATCATATAAGGAAACTGATAATATACCTGTAACAACATCAGGCGATGACTCCTGGTCCTGTCATCCTGCCAACGCATAAATGCGGTTCTGAGGACTGCTCGAGCTAGATGCTCTGTCTCTACCTCTACTACGACTCATTGGTGCTTGTAGACCTTGCCCAGGGAAGCGTATTGATGATGACGAACCAGCTACAGATCCCACCGGTTGAGCTATGCTTGCATCACCTCTCATCGGACAATCCCTCATAATGTGGCCCGAATAACCACAAGTATAACAAATACCTAATCCCATACGGCACTGTCTGGTATGCTGCTTACCACATTGAGCACATCGTGGCATGGGCGGCCTCATCTGATTTAACTCACCCCTATACTGAGAACCTGAGGCCCTGAAATTCTAACCAGACCCTGAATATGAGGAATGATCAAATCTCTTGCCGTTAAACTGAGGGGGCGCCCTAGCCGATGGCTGGGCTAGATACCTCGGGTACTGCTGCCTCTGACCACCTCGAAACTCAACAGAACGACCCGAAGACCTCGCTCTCATATTCTAGGTCGTACCATGCTCACAATCGGCCCTCTGTTTCTGCTTACGCTCCTCTACACCCTGAGCGTATGCCTGAATACGAGAAATATCCATGTCTGGCTGAAGTGAGACCGACATACAATTGTTAAGAAAGTGAGGCTCTAATCCCATCACGAACCTGTGAACCCGATCCTCCATCTTACATACAATAAAGGGAGCATACCTAGCCAATGAATCAAACTGAAGATTGTACTGCCGAACACTCATGTTACCCTGTCGAAGGGTCAAGAACCTATCAACCCTGGCTCGCCTAAGCTCTGGTGGTAGATAACGACGAAGAAAAGCTTCTGTAAACTCCTGCCATACTGTTGGAGGGGCATCCTCACCTATGGACAATTCCCAAGACTCGTACCAATTAACTGCAACATCTCGGAGTCTATAGGAAGTTAGCTCAACTGACTCAGTTGCAGTGGCCTTCATTACCCTTAATGTCCTCTGCACTCTATCAATAAATACCTGAGGGTCCTCATTCGGGTCTGCCCTAGTGAATACCGGAGGATCTAAATTAATGAAGTCATGAACCCTCGCACTGATAGAACTATCTGCACGACCAATACCTATTTCCTGATGCCGAGCCTGCGCGGCTACTAATTGGGTTAATAGCTGAATAGCATCTCTCATCTCCTGACCCGGTGCATCCGGCTGAGGTGCTGAATGTACAGGGGCGGGTGCTGGAGCTGGTGCCCCTCGGAGCTCTTCTGGAAAGAGCGGGGTATGTGAAGTCTGAGATGGAACCACACCATGAGACCCTCCCCGAGCCCTGGTAACTCGTACCGCTTAACTAGTAGTCTCACCAGCCACAGACTTTCCCTTCTGGGCGGTCGTACTCTTTGGAGGCATCGCTGAAAATATAACAATATCGTTAGGAACATGAATTCTTGTATCGCACGATCTGAGATAAAAAGAGAGGATAACATCATATATGTCCTGTATCCTCCTGTCTATAAGTGTGGTGCACAACACACCTATAAACAAGACTCTACTAGACACGGTCTGTAGACAACCCTAGGAAAGAACTGCTCTGATACCACTTTTGTCACGACCCAAACCGATGGGCCGCGACGGGTGCCTGAGTCCTACCTGTCAAACACCCCTAAGCATGCGTCTAAGATATGAACCTGAATAACATCTGCTGAATTACGAAAATAACATACATGAAGAAAACCTACCAATAAGGCATATTACGTATACAAGCAGAATACTGTAGGCAAGCCGGCAAGGCTGCTATAGACAACTATACATCCAAAACTGAAAGCCGACAAGGCCACATACAACCCGACTAGACATACTATCTACAGACCTCTAATAGAAACATAACTGTACAAAGACGGGACTGAGCCACGTCATACCCATATATACATACAAACATATCGTATCAATATCAAAAGCAGCTCCAAATCAAGTGGAGCACACCAACTCTCGCTGATCAGGGATCCTAAGAAGGGGGACCGTCAGCTTGCCTACCTGCACCTGCGGGCATGAAATGCAGGCCCCGTGAAATAGGGCGTCAATACGAAATATGTATTGAGTATGTAAGGCATGAAAATTAGTACGTAAAAAGACATTGATGAAAAAAGGAAGAAAGAACACATCTTTAAATTTGAATAAGTTTGTAAATTCTGAAACATTTATAATGTCATGCACGTGCGTATAAATGTCGTGCCATGCATAGGTATGGGTGTACATAATATCATCAAGCCACTAAGGGCATCCCATCATATCGTCTCTGCCACTATGGGCAACATCATCAACATATACCAATTGATCAGGTGATGGTGCGTATTAATGTCGTAACCTTTTTCAATGTCCTATATATATATATATATATATATATATATATATATATACACGTATATAACGCCATCTGATCATGGTGCACATGTATAAATTGGTGAAATGCATGAAAATACGTAATAATCTCAATATTCCTTCCAAATATACTTTTTTTCAACTGCGTATTATTCTGAGACACATGAACAGAAGATAATAATAATTCTCATGGGGAATCAAGAATATAGACAGGCCTTGTATTTCTATGAATAGAGTAATTTATGGAAACTGTGCGTATGCTCGTTTCTTCTGTATAACTTGGATCATGCCAAAAGAAAGAAGGGATGGCCTTAACATTCCTGGAGTAGGGAAAACTTCGTATAATATTCTTGGCGAAGATTGCACCGTACTCTTTTAGAACTGCAAAATTTCACGTTGCTACTATTCCAACAAATTCTCGTTGGAAGCTTTTGCTTTTTTTTTTTTAAGCTTTTTGGAACGAAATTTAGCTTCTGTTGCTAACGTTCTTCTTGAAGGAAGATGTTATATCAAATGAGTTATGAATGTATTAGCTTCTGTTTCTAATGTTTCTTTTGAGCTAAGAATGATATGCCAACAATGATTCATGGGTTCTGATCCTAAATGAGATATCTTGGTTAAATTTTACTTTTTCCTTAGGTGGCCACATGGACTAAATGACTAAGAGTCATTCTTAGGCATGGTGGCTTTGTGCCACGTTTTGGGTGGGTGTAATTTATAAATTTTTATCCATTTATTAGTTAACTGGATAATGTCCTGTTAACCGATAATTAACCAATTACCCGCATAATTTTAAAATTACCACAAATTACTTAAATTCTACTTATTTTTAATATACTTTATACATTATACTATCGTGGTCATATGGTACCTTGCGTGGTACTAGTTCATAATTATCGGGTATTTTCGCTCGACCCGTATTTTATCCCAAATTGGTCACTTTTAACGAAACTCATTTTCTTTAATTTGTGTACCCCTTTATCCTTCATAACACTTATTTATCGCTTGTTATAAATAGTGTAAATACGTTAACGTCAAGATGATCTCATCCCCGAGTCTACGGCAATTAACTGAAGACGAAACTTTTAACATACGAAAACGCGAGATGTAACATAAACGCCAGATCATACTAAAATGTCATATTGACCAAATGCATAAGAGCCTATGGGCCAGCCAAATGAGCCCCAGGGCCGTACTATAGACCTAAGGGTTCTTCTTTCAGAGACCAGTTCATCTAGCTAACGACTGACAAACTTCGAAGCAAAAGGAAGTGCATGAAAAATGAAGCCGCAAGGCTTCCTTTTATACGTATGTATGAAAAAACACAAAGCTCCATTTACAATGTCGGCATTATATACAAAATCAGAAAAGAAAAACCCAATCCACGTCCCCCTCGGGGACTATGGCCCGTCGGCCTCTTTCTCGTTATCTTTTGCATCGGACAAAAGGAACTTAGCATCATACTTGTCCGCCTTTGCCTGCTCTATCTATCCCGAGAGATCGAAGCCTCTGGCGTGTATCTCCTCGAGGGTTTCCCTCCGAGATTTGCATCTAACATACTCTTTGCTCCTACGCTCCCGGTCGAGAGCCCTTCTCAACTCAGCTCGAGCGTCGGCGGCGTCTTGCAAAAGACATCCACTTTCTTATCAGCCTTGGTTCAGATCTCTTCGGCTTCAGCCCATGCATCTACAACCTCCACTATCATCTTTAAAAGCTCAGACTCGAGCCACGCAATCATGCTCGTTCGGACCGAGTTGTTTGCACAAGCATTCCGGAATTGCACTTCGAGGGTGGAAACCTTGGCCAAAGCATCCCTCTGGGCCGCAACTTGGGCATCCGCCTGAGCCTTTAGCTCGTTACACTCATGCTTAACCTAGACAACCTCGCCCCAAAGTCGTTCCAGGTCATCCGTTTTTCTCTCCAGCTGAAATAAGAGAATATTAGCCTACGAAAGTAGAAGGAGAGGCATACATCGACTCAAAACAAAGGTTACTAGTCTTTTGAGATAGCTCTCGTAGTTCTGACTCCGATCTGCCTCGTACCACAGGTATTCTAGCTCATCTCCTCTTTTCTTGCAAAGAAGTCTGAGGGATTTCTCCCCTTCTAAAGCTTTCCGCAGCCTGGCTTCATGGCGAAGCAGCTCGAACTTAAGCTTGTCAAATGCCTGCGAAAAAGGAGTTCAATAAGAAAAGGAAGGTGCGAAACTAAAAATCATGTACCGACTACCAAAATTCACCATGGAACTGAGCCGCTGAGCCTTGTCAAAAGTCGAGCACACATTTGCTGGCTTGGCCTCGTCGGCCCCGGTAAAACTACTCCCGATGGGAGCGCGGTCGCTCGATATTCCATTCGATCTGCTCGGTCCCTGGCCTCGAATTTCCCTCGAAATACCTTCGGTAGGGGAAGAAAATGCCCCTGTCCCTCGAAGTACCTTCTAGGGAATGGGAGATGGCGGCAAGGGAGGAACTGTTTTTTCAAGAGTAGAGGACTCAAAGGCCGGAGGTTCAGTCGACTCGTCTCTTTTAAACCTCAGAGCAGGACTCGCCCTGCTGCAAGCATCCTCGCCCCTCGAAGATTCCTTCCGTTTATTATCGATCCTCATCCCCGAGGTTGGAAATCTTTCCTCCTCCCCAAAGGGACACGGCCTCACCTCGGAAAATTCTCCAACACCTGCGCTGACAGAGTGAGTGCGCTATAAAGAAAGTACCTTTCTAAGAAAACAAGTCACTATGCACCTACCATGATGCTTTGCCTCTCATCTCCCCTTAGACAGGTCTTGCCATTTGCACTTATCGTAAGACGAGCAAGATGCCAACTTATGAGACCATTTCTCCAGGTCGGGAACCTCGTTAGGCAGCCAAGGGGTCGCTACAGAAAACAAAAAGGAGAACATCTTCACGGAGCCCGCCTCCACTATGGACAAAAACGATAAAAACACAAGTGTACCACTTACGTGTGAAATTCCATTTTTAAGGAAATGGCAGAAACTCTCCAGGGATAACATCGACTGTTCATACTCAAACGAATCGACTCATCCACCCTCGGTCCTCGTCTTCTTCATCACTAACAGCAGGGGACCGAATGGATCGACATTGCAGAGTAATCAAGCCCCAATAATGCAAAGGCCGATATAACCTAATGAGATGACTAAGGGTGAATTCGAGCGCAGCCGTATATGCAAAATATCTTATCATCGGCACTATCTTCCAAAAGGATGGGTGAGCCTGAGCCAAGGTAACCTGATACCTCCTACAAAACTCGATCACGACCCTATCGAGAGGGTCCAATGTAAAGGGGTATGTATATACGTTCAAAAAGCCCTCAACATGGGCCGTAATGCTCTCCTTCGGGGAAAGTACCTGCAGCACCACTTCTCCTCCCCATCCGTAGTCTTTTCTGACTGCCCGAGATGCTCCTCCCCTATCGAAGAGATAAACCTCGACGCATGCTCCCGGCGGCCCGGAACATTGGGAGGTTTCTCTAGCGTAAAGTCCCTTCTCGTGATGAAGCACCTCGACGTTAGCCTGTTGGACACCGGCGGTATACCACCGACCGAGTGCGAAGCTAGGACAGAGCCCTCCTCTCCTTGGCGAGCGGATTTGGGCATAGCAGCCATGGCTATGGCGAAGCAAAGAAAGGGGAAATGAAAAGGCTTTGAGTTGAAGGAAATTTGGCGCATGGGAGAAAGTCGATGAAGGATTAACAGCTATTAGGGCTGTGATTGCGGCTCTTTATGACCAATAACGAGCAATAAATGAAGAAAATTTAATAAGATATAATAAATGTAAGTAATAGAGCCAAATAGGGAGTATGTTTGAGTTAGAGAACAGAAAGAATGTTCTTGTATTGAATGAAATATGTTGTGTTTTTTCTAATGACAAGGATCCCCTTTATAGATGAGGAGAATCCTAATACGGTACAAGTGCATTTATTACAAAGATATGAGCTTGGTACAGCTATTCTGAGCTAGCCTATAGGCTAGGTCAGCTCTAGTCATGTCCTTGGGATCTTCCCGCTAGCGTGTCATAACC